ACCGTCCGCGTCCTCATTCCGCAGGCGCGTCAGGACACCACGCAACTCGAAGAGCTGCGGCGACCGATGTTCAGGAGCGGCCCCTCCCGGCCCCACACTTAACGTCACATCATAGCATCACATGCAAATACGTAATATGGTGCACCCGGCCCGCCATTGCACTGAACTGCACAACAAACCCACGCCGCGAAATTTCCCAACACGCATACATGTAATACAAAATATAGAGCCACCATGATACTGCCCAAGACCATCTTTAGCGCGCGCTGCCTTCCCAAATTCACCGCGTGTTCCCGCACCCTCTGGAGCCCGCCTGCCGAGCGCAACTTAGGCGCGTAGGGGTTGTCGACCATGGCGGCCAGAGCGGGGTAGCGCTCCAAGCACCTGCTGATAGTGCCCAGGAAGCCGCCCTCCTCCGCGCGGGCGCATTTCACGGTGACCCCCAGGCAGTCCTCAGGAGCTTCGCGCTCGCGGCCGATTCTCTCAGCAACCGTCCGCATAGCTGTTTTCACCAAGCCCAGCCGGCGGATCGGGGCAGCCGCAGGCTCCTCTCGGAGGAGATCGCGGCACGCGAGCGTGACCCAGTGCTCCCCGCGCCTCGTGAATAGTGGCCGCCGCCAGCAGTGGGCGGGCAGACAGCCCTGCCCGCGGCGGCGTCCGCCTGCCGGCCGCCACGGCGCGATGATGGGACAGCCAAGGCACCCACTCCAACGCTGCCGAAAAGCAATTGCGATCTAACTGTTCCGAGGCATGTTGATTCTAATATATGCGGTCCAGCCTCGAGAGGGCGCTGCCGCTGCAATGGGTCATCGCTGGTTGGTATACTTCGCGCAGCCCTACTGGGCTCACCAGCCGCTGCCGATGGCGTTCCTCGGCCTGGTCGCGGGCCCCGGAGGCGGCGCCCGTGGCTACGGTGGTGCGGTCTGCTGGCTTGGCATCCCAGTTGAAGTCCCCAGCGACCACGGTCAGCGTCGAGATCGCCGGGCGGAGCACGCCGCGTCGCCCGCCACTCGGCATCGCAGGGCAGCCCTCTGCTGCGCGACTGCGCGGGGGGGTGCTGCCGCCGCAGCGGCGTCTGGGCGAGGCGTCGGCTGCTGACGATGGGGGGCGCCAGCGGTGCCAGCGGGGCCGCGCCTTACCACGAGGTCCAAATGCCCCTGCGGCCCGCCAAGACGTAGAACCGCAGCTCGCCCGGCATCGACCTCGAGCCACTCCCGCTCAGAAGAGGCCGCGACAAAACGATCCTGCAACAAGATCCCCACGCCAGCCCGGGCCGAAGTGCCGTGCGACCACCAAGCTTGGCAAACTCCAGGCCCAATCCAGGCGTCCGCAGCTCCCAGCACACTGTGCGTCTCTGTGAATAGTACCGCGTCGTGGTCACGAATCGATCGCCCAACGTATCTCGTCTTGCGCCGTAGCCGCTGGGGATTGGACGAGAGTACCGCTTGGGCATGCCAGGTGACTACTGACAGAGCCCCACGAAATGCCCCGCCAACCAGAGGAGCAGCCGCCGGCCCAGGGGCGGACGGGACCGAACGCAGTGGCAGCTGCGGCGCCCACGCTGCCGGGGGGCGGTGCGGGGTGGAAGCCCAGCGCTGCACGGAGGCGAACGCGGGCGTGAATAGCCAATGGCACCTCCGAGTGCACTCCACGAGGTTGATCGCCTGCTGGACGATCGCCTGCCAGACGGTCGCCGATGGCCCTCCTACGGGGCCTTAGCAGACACTCCAGCGCTAAAAAACTGCCCGCCCTCTCCGGGGGCAACACCTTGGAAACCTTTCGCACAGCCCGAGAAACATCCTCATGCACGTAGAGACCCCGCGCCCCCCCCCCCCCCCCATCGGCGGCATCACCTCCTAAGCCCCCGTGAACCCTACAGCGAACGTGCCCGGGCAGACTGCGCTGGGCCAACTCCACCTGCCACAATCCGAGAGGACGACAAAAGGCCGATCTTATTCCAAGCTATTGGCTAGCTTATTTCAAGCTATTGGGAGCCCCTTCCTCGCGAGGCCATCTGACATCTCACTGCGCGCACTAGCAGATTCCCTGCTAACTACTTCGCCTCCTCCGAAATCGCGGAAAGAGAGGCCATCGATAACGCCTCCCAGCCAAACCGCGGGGCACCCCGACGCCGCCTTCCCGAGGCAGGCAAGGGAAAGAAGCCAGGCTAGAGGCGTGGCCCCCGAGCAGCCTGCCACACTGCCGCCGCTGGGCGCAATATGCCTGCTGTCCGCTCCTCGCCAAGAAATTCCCCCATGGGGCCCTGTAGGCTGCGCAATGCGCCCCGAGGAAGGCCAGCGGGAAGTCGAGCTGCGCCACGCAGCTCATCGTGGGAAAGAAACTCGCAGAATGCTCTGGGATCTGAAGAGAGCGCGCTAGTCTCCATGCCCTGCGCCTGCCGAGCACAGGCTGCCGGCGCGCTGTGAACCCACGCGCTCTCGCTACGGACTGCGCCACTGCTCATGCCCCAGGAAACCGCCCATCAACCTCGCGCCCCCACTTGTCGCAGGTCCCGCGGCGAACTGGGCCACAGACCATGGCCCAGAGCGGGAGGAAGCCAATTGACCTCACCCCTCCCGAGGGCTCGCCCCCCAAAAAAACACGATCACCAACCAGAAGGGGCCTGTGACACGGCGCCTTTCCCAACGATTCTGGGCCCTCCACAAGAGACCTGGGCAACTACAAAAGCAAGCGATGATTGAAAGCATCCCACTCAGCCTAGCACGCGGACGGGACGAACACCTGGGCCGCATCCAACTGGGCCGGTGCAATTGCATGTTTGATGCCCTCCGATGTAAGGGGCTGCATTCACCACTCAAATACGGTCTGAGTATCAAGAGCAGGGACGAGGACGCGTCGGTAGCGACAACCGCGCGGCCTGCTGTAGGGCTGTCGGGAGGCTCTCCAGCGCCGAGGCCAAGGCTGAGGCCGAGGCTCGCAAGGCTGCTCGCGGGGCTGAGGCTAAAAAATGACAGCTTCGCGGAGGGCCGAGGTACCACAACCCGACACACCAACTATCAAATAGAGATCATAGCGGCGATTAGCTGCGACCCCCGAGGCGATTAACGAGAGATCACAGCGGCGATTAGCTGCGACCCCCGAGGAGATTAAAGAGAGATCATAGCGGCGATTAGCTGCGACCCCCGAGAATGACCCAAGAGATGACCATGGCCCCTAGCCCTCGGATTCGGGGCCAGGCCGAGGGGTGAGGCGGTGTTTCCCCTCGCCTCTCCCCTCTCGGGCCTGGCGGGTGTCCCCCGCCCTCGGCCTCGGGGCCTGCCAGACGTGCCATCAGACGTCGGGGTGGTTGCCCCCCCTCCCAGGGCCGCCCGTTCCGCGCTACTCGTGGTCTGGCTCCACACTCTCAGCGGAGTTCGCTTCGGCCCTGGAGGACCTCGTGGTGGTTGTAGGGTCACGGGTCCGGGGGGCAGTGCCAAGCGGCGGACTGGGCCAAACTTGCCTCCTGGCCCCCGTGTCCTCCACAGTGCAGCTCCCCCGGGCGTTTCGCCCTGTGACACCGCAGAAGGCAGCACTACCACCAGCGCCGCCCCCCCCTCACTCCCCCCGCTGGCGGTGCGTCCCACGCCTGCGGGCCCTCCGAGCCCCCCCTCTCCGAGGCCTGGCGCCGTGCCGGCACGCGCTGCGTGGCCCACAGTCGTTTGTTTCCCCCATGCACTGTGGGGTGGTCTCTCGGGTTTGGGTCTCCAGGGAGTGGTTCAGCCTTCCGCAGCAGGTACAGCACCCCAGGCTCATCCACCAGCTTCCGGCCAGTGCGCTGCACCAAGTTCCGCGACAGCTGCTCCCTGGCTTGCAGACGTCGTCGCGGGCGTTTGGAGTCTGGCGCCCCACAGGCGACTCACTCCACCGGCCTCCCACTTGCCTCCACTCAGATTGACGGTCCTGGTCATCCTGGTTATGTCTCTTGACGGGCTTGGTTACCCGGTTCACGTCTCAGACTGTGGCTGGCACCGTATTCAAGACATTTTGTCTGTGCACGCGCACGAGCTCTCAGGGTCAGGTCACCTGCAGCGTCAGCTTCTCTCCAGCTTCGTGGCTGCTTTGTGAGCGGGCCCGCCGGCCTGTGCCTGTTGCAATTTGTGCCTGAGTGCGTTTGCCCTGAGAATTAGATTAATTTTGTTCTGTGCACGTGCAACTGCGAGCCTGTCTCGCAGGTGCGAGCTTCGTCCGCCGACTCTGGCTGGCGGCGAATTGTCTTGCAAATTAGCCCCGGACGCCGCTTCCGCTCCCTGTCCGTTGCCTCGGAGCCGCTGACCAAAAAAAGGGGGGCCAAGGCAAGGCTGGGCGAGCTTGGAAGGTGCACTCAGAAAGAAAAACGTGACACATTATGAGCGGGTACATTTCAGCAGGGCTGGACCAAATTGCGTGTCCGAGGAGCCTTATTCGTCGCACTATTCCGCAAGGCCAGTGGGCATGGTGATACTGGGCTTAGCCCTGGAGCATTTGCTCTTACTCTTCCTCCTCCTTCTCTACCTCTTCATTTTTTTGACGAATAACCGATATGGGAAGCCGCTCGGACCGTGCGGACACCTCGACAATTCAAAGCCGCCATCATCAATCGCGACAACGATACATATTGCTATACCATATATGATATGATAGATATGATATACGTATGTGTGTGTATGTATATTACCCGCCGCCTCAATTGCACAAAAGCTGGTACCTCCTCCTCCTCCTCCTCCTCCTCCTCCTCCTCCTCCTCCTCATCATCATCATCATCATCATCATCATCATCATCATCATCATCATCATCATCATCATCATCATCAGCAGCAGCAGCAGCAGCAGCAGCAGCAGCAGCATCATCATCATCATCATCATCATCATCATCATCATCATCATCATCATCATCATCATCATCATCATCATCATCGTCCCCCTCCTCCTCTGCCGCCTCCTCATCCTCGCCATCCTCCTCACCGGCATTCCCATCTCAACCTCTCCTGTGCTCCGCACATACTCCCCTGCTGAGGCCGCACCACACTAGAAACGGCCCGTACAAGAGCTCGTAGATGGGGATCTCGACAGCGAGGTGAGCGTGCACTTGCCGGAAAGTGCGGATCCTCTTGGCAGTCGGGGCTGAAATCTGACCTTTTCCGCTGCGCTGAATGTAACGGCAGCCCCCCCGTCTTCGCATGCTCCCCGCAGAACGTCCAAGAAGGTTGGGGGGGCGTAGTGGTGGACCTCAGCCGTGGTCCCCTCTCTCTCTCTTTCTCTATTTCTCTCTCTCTCTCTCTCTCTTCCTCTCTCTCTCCCTCTCTCTCTTTCTCTTCTTCCTGGGTCACCTAGCCTGACCTCGCACCTCGCGCAGCACGAAGCACGATCATCGTATCGCCCTCGCGCCGCCCCCAGGGAGATGGGCAGCTCAGCGGCCTGGCCGGCGAAGCGCGA